TGAGATATAATTCATTGTTTTAATAATTAATGGTACCAGTGCATGTTTCTAAGTGTACCAAAGGTAAATAATTTACTGTAATTACCAAAGAGGAATGATATTATTTATTTATGAGATCTTTTTTTTAAAAAAATAAACCTTTGTGAAAAACAACCTTAGATCCCCCAATATAAGAACTGTAGCTTGCCCTCCACACCACTCATGCCAAAAAAATTAAAGGAACAGCACCATTTTGTATTAAGTATTTTGCCCTACTCTGAAGGGTTGTTGGTGTGGGTCTCCAAATTCAGTGTAATTTGTTGTTAAATGAAGCCAGACTCAAACCAACACCTCATCTTTGGTTAACCCATATAGAATTTAGGAACTTTCCTAAGTGGTTTATTGCTTTTGATGGGTTAGAATCTTCTCTGTGGATTCTTATTAGATGCATAATTGTACACCCATTCACTGGATATGTCCTCATTCATTAAATGCAAATAAAGCTGTTCCTTATTCATTTTTGCATTTTCCTAAAACCTGGGTGAGATAGTGACTTGCATATAATTGCTCTACAAATTTATTTTTCAATTTGATTTCAGGGCCATTAAAAAAAATCTGTGTAATTCAGAATAAGTTTTTAAATTTAAATTTTATTATTACCAAAGTTATGTAATTGAACAAAAATTCCTTGACCAGGTGTAGTGGCTCATGCCTGTAATCCCAGCACTTTGGGAGGCCGAGGCAGGTGGATTGCTTGAGGTCAGGAGTTCAGTACCAGCCTGGCCAACATGGTGAAACCTTGTCTGTACTAAAAATACAAAAAATTAGCTGAGTGTTGGTGGTGCACACCTGTAGTCCTAGCTCCCCAGGAGGCAGAGGCAGGAGAATCTTTTGGACCTGGGAGGTGGAGGTTGCAGTGAAGCGAGATTGCACACTGCACTCCAGCCTGGGTGACAGAGCGAGACTCCCTCTCAAAAAAAAAAAGTAGGTTGTGAAATATTTGGGTGGGGGGCTAGGGGAGGGATAGCATTAAGAGAAATATCTAATGTAGATGACAGGTTGGTGTGGTACAGCAAGCCACCATGACACATGTATACCTATGTAACAAACCACGTTCTGCACACGTATCCCATAACTGAAAGTATAATAATAATAATAAAGTCATATTCTCCAAGGCACACTTGTTAGGAAAAAACATAATCCCCATATACACTTTCAGTCCCCAATTTTGCCTATCCAGAGACCAGTGCTTGAAATAATTTTCGATGACTCTTATTATATGTTTGCATATCTCTAAATACTACATGTGTGTTGCTTCTTGCTGATTTTTGAACATTTCAGGAATTGTTTATTGACTTCCCCAAATGAAAGAGGAAGCTTTAATATTTTTTCACACTTTTTCTCCCTGACCATGCATACATAGTATTCTACCATTTCCCCAAACAGTTGTATTTTATTTTGGTTATATCTGTATTTGGTGATTATATTGTTATGCCTATGTAAATGTTACTCTCATATGTGGCTTATATTGTGATTGCTTCTTCTTTATTTTTTTTTTTTTTGTTTGAGAAAGAGTCTTTCTCTTACCCAGGCTAGAGTGCAGTGGCACAACCTTGGCTCACTGTAACCTCTGCCTCCTGGGTTCAAGTGATTCTCCTGCCTCAGCCTTTCAAGTAACTGGGATTACAAGTGCGTGCCACCACATCCAGCTAATTTTTTGTATTTTTAGTAGAGAATGGGTTTCAGCATGTTGGCCAGGCTGGTCTCAAACTCCTGACCTCAAGTGATCTACCTGCTTCAGCCTCCCAAAGTGCTGGGATTACAAGTGTGAGCCACCTCGCCCAGCCTGATTGCTTTTTCTTTCCGGCACAATATTTTATTTTCCCTGGAGTTTTTTCATTTGCTTGATAGCCCCTGTACATATCAATAGTCCAACCCCAGAACTCTCCCCCAGTTGTACAAATCTCTCAATATGTTCACATTTGTTAGGTGATCTGTCTCTCGTCTACCTACCTCATGTCTCTTAGAGCTTTCTTACCTGTCATGTTCCTTGTAGGTCCACTGCACAGATGTGCTCTTGAGCCTTCCTTCATCATAACCATGAAAATTCCCTTTGTTTTCTCTTGAGTTGGAGTCCATGTCCTCCTTTTTCTTGGATTACTCCTCATGTCAGTGGAATACATCTTAACAATAGTTTCCTTAGAGGGTGCATGAGAAATACGTTTTAAAAGGTTTTATATATCTGAAAATATCTGTCTAGTTCATGCTTGTTTTTAGTTTAGCTGGTTATAAAATTCTGACTTGAAGTCATTTTCTCCAAGAATGTTGAAGGAATCGCTCCATTGCCTTTTACCTTCAAGTTTTGCTGTTAAAAGTCTGATACAGGTCCTCCATCTGTGACCATTTTTCCTCTCCATGTTTATATAGGCTCTGTCCTTGTCTCCAAATTCTGAAATGTTATGTTGATGTACCATAATGGGTTCCGTATTCATTCCTAGTGCTGGTCACTTAGTGGGTCATTTTACTCTGGCACCCTGTGTCTTCAGCTCTGGAAAAGTTTTTTTTTTCCTTTGTTTCACTATTTCTTTCTAGAACTTCTTTTTTTTAAAAGACTGATGAGGAGGATTTGAACCTCCTGAACTTATCTTTTGCTTTCATGTATTTTCTCCCCTGTTTCCTACAGTTAACAATTTCTCTAAAATTTCTAGGGTTTTTTTTTTTCCCCAACATATTTGTTACTTTCTAAGAGTTATTTCCACTAAATATTTCTTTGTTATAATAAGTAGTCTATTGTTTCACAGGTGTAAAAGTATCTCATTTCTCTCTCTAGATATTAGTGAATAATTTTAAGTTTTCTTCTCCCTGAAAAGCCCGTTTCCTCCAGTTTGCTTTCCTTCTGTTTGCTTGTTTTTGTTTTTATAATAGATGATTTTCTCAACTGTGTAGTAGCTTTCGGCTGTCTACTTATTAATAAACTCATTGGAAGCTCTCTGTATGGTGTAGAGGTTGTCATCCATGATTTCCACTGAAGTAATAAGCCAGGATATTTCACTGGGAAATTCCAGTGGGCAAGTCAGATATCCCATTTTCTGCCTAGAACTCTATCCCTAACTGTGTTTAGAAGACCAGTAAAGGAAGAAGGCTGGGAGTCTGAGTATTCAGTATATGATCTTCATTTTTAGTATGGGGCCTCTAGCCTTCTAGTCTCCTGCTTCTAGCCTTCTGCTAGGGTTGGTGGTGGTGATGACAGGGGATCATTATTTGACAACTGAGAGGATTATGAAGGTCGGCTCACTTTTTAAAGAGAATTTTAGCCAATCCTTTTGTTCCTCTGCTGATGTATTTTCTCTTATTCTCTCTGTCCTTTCTGTGTATGTATTTTTAAATATGTCACTGTCATTTTACTGAGGTTTCAGTAGGAAGCAGATTGAGGGGGATCTGTGGGCTAATACCTTTCATCAGATTTGGCATATTCTTAGCCATTATCTTTTCAAATATAGCTTCTACTTTATTCTCTTCTTCTCTTCTATTTCTAAGGGTCTAATTTATACCTATGTTAAAATCTCTCAATGTTCCACATCTTGTATTATTTTCTATTTTTTTAACATATCCCTTGGTTTTTATATTTTTCCATTTATGGCTCTAACTTATCAATCCTCTTTTATATTGTGTCTACACAAGTCAAGAACTGACACTGTATTTAATACTCAACCTATGCCCATTTGATTCTTTCTTATGTATATTCTAGTGTTCTATCCCTTTTAATTTATTTTCTCTTTCTGCCTATTTTTGTAAACATACTAATCATAGTTATTGTAAAGTACCTAATAGCTTACCTCAGAATCTGGATGGCCTGGGAATCTATTTATAGTGTCTGTCTAGCTTGGTTTGGTTTTATTTTGTTTTTCTGTTTTTATTCATGTACCCTGGCCATGCTTGGCAGTTTTTCACTTTATGCTAGACATGGTATATGAAAAATTGTGGACACACTGATGATGATTTATTCCTCTAGAGAATGTTGACCCTCCCTCTGCTAGGCAAATAGAATAGTAGATGATCATTTTAATTCAATTAAGATTTTGCTGAAATGAGGCTGGTTTGCCGCCCTGGTAAAAGCTCATACTACCTCTCCTCTGGTTTCCCTCCAGCTCACCAGCATCCTTATTTAAAATTGTGGTATGATCTTCAAATCTCTTTCCCATTATAAGTTCTAAACTTTTAAGTCATTTTCTCATTGCCTGCCAAAAATCTCCATTATGCTCTTCAGAGATATTTCTGGTTAGGTTTTGAGCTTCCTGTTCTGCACAGCCCCAGAATTCAGCAAATGTTCTTAGCAGAAAACTAGCATGCTTGAGGCCACCCAAATCTCCACCAACTCTCCTGGCTTTTCTGTTCAACAACAGTGACCCCTGAAGGTTAAAAGTAGAAATCTGTTTGCACTGGAAACTGACAAAAGCCCATAAGTTAAAAATGTGCAACAGAAAGTCAGTTGAACTCCTGAAGATGTTCCCCTTCCCAGAGTTTGGTAGTTCTTTTAGTTCTTGATGCTTTAGCCACCCTCTGCTGCATTCAGATACAATTTCTGTATTTTATCCAGCTTACTTGGCAGAAGCACTAGACTGCTGCTAGCTACTCCACCCCACTCGGAACCAGACATTATCAAGATTGAATTTTTCATTTTTTATTCTGAGAATTGGGAAAAAACATTGCAGTTGTTATAGGATTAATTTGGAGACATGCTGAAGTGATTAAAATCACAGTTGGAGTTAGTTCTGTGCCATACCAATGACCCAGGGTGCTTTCTTAAAAGATTGAAATAAAACAAACTATCAATAGACTTTATTTTCTAACATTATTATACTCAAATTTCAACATATTCCTGTAGAAGAGAATTTAAAAATTATTTACGTTGAATGTAAGTCTATCTGGAATTAGAGGAATACAGATATGTTTTATATGTGTAGAGAAACCAGTCATGTATGGTTTGTTGATGTAATTTAATTTACCATTTTATTTTACAGCATCTAACATTCACAAGGGAATTTGATTCAGATTCTCTTAGACATTACAGCTGGGCTGCCGACACCTTAGACAATGTCAATCTTGTTTCAAGCCCCATTCATTCTGGGTAAGTAACCTAAATGTCACTTTTCTTTATTCTACTACATGAACATTGCATTTATTATTTACAGTTATAAATTCACATCAACAAGCTTCATATATATGAATATATTCATGTATGAAATGTATCCTCATTAGTATATGTAAAGTGTATTTGTAATCATTAAATTTTTTCTAAGCAATTCTGTATGGGTTTTTTATGAGGAAAAAAATTAATTTTGTTAGAAAAAAATAATGAAATTATTGGTACAACACACTTTTTTCCTGGCTATTTTGATCTTCTAGGCCTTTAATTTTCCTTTTCAGAAAATCTCTTTTTTAAATATTTTAAAATTTGAAATAGAGTGATTTTTCTTCATTTTACTTTTCTTCTGGGTTGAGGTTTCTTCTGGGTATCTGATTTTCTCAGATATAAGAATTTCTCAGATAGAAGAGTTTCTCTCAAATATTTAGTGGTTGTGTTTTTTGCTTTTTTGTTTTGTTTTGTTTGACAGGGTCTGGCTCTGTCGCTCAGGCTGAAGTGCAGTGGTACAGTCCTGGCTCACTGCAACCTCTACATACTGGGCTCAAGCCATCCTCCCACCTCAGCTTCCTGAGTAGCTGGGACCATAGGTGTGCATCACCATGCTCGGGTAATTTTTGTGTTTTTTCGTAGAGATGAAGTCTTGCCATGTTGCCCAGGCTGTTCTCAAACTCCTGAGCTCAAGCAATCCACCCACCTTTGCCTCCCAGGCTGCTGGGATTACAGGCGTCAGCCACCACCCTGAGCAAACATTTGGTTTTCAAATTAGGAGTAAGCTGTGGCATTGTCATTTTTTTCTCATATGATTTGATAAATGATTTGTTTTCTGTGATTTTCCTTTTAAAAGAATATGTAAATTTGAACTTTCAATCAAGTTGGTGCCTTCCGCATTTCTGAAATAAAATTACAATTAAGTTGTATAGAAAAAGAAATGAATAAAAAGAATAAAGATTAAAAAAAAAAAATACCAGTATCTACACCAGAAGTGCTGTGGTTAAAAACCACATCGAGTAGCCTCCTCATGCTGCCTCCCTGGTCAATGGAATTCGAGACTGGACTCTAAAAGGGAACTTGCTTCAATAAATAAATTAGTGTGTCTTTGGATATTAGATTCTTCATCTGTAGTTAATTCAGATTTGGGATAGTTGACATCCATATAAGTATAATCAAAATAATCTGTTAAAATGATGAATATTTCAAGGTATTTTTGCCTTGGAAATTGGCATTTAGGTCTTAAGTTAATTGTGATCAAGGACAAGAGCAGATTATTTTGGAATTAAATAAATTAACAATAATTAACAGTTGTGAAGTGCTTCATATATTACGTATTTGCTGCTGCTTCTAATTAAAATAAATTGTAATAGCTAATGTTTACTTATTTCTTGTCATGTACCTGACATTGTGCTAAATCTTTTACATGTATTGTCTCATTCGATATTTACTTGAAATTTAAGATGATACTGTGAGATACATATTACTCATTATTCCCATTTTACAAATAAAAAGTCAGGCTCAGAGTAATGCTTCAGGTTATTTAAAGAATCATCATAGATTTTGGCTTTGTAATACTATGATTCTGAGAAACAGATCAATATCATTCAAATGGGAATAACTGACATGAAAGTACTTCATAAATTATAAACTTCATGGTGGCTTTTGAGTTATTAACATTGCATTTCTTTAACTCAATTAGAAAAACCTCGAATTATTATAATATTAATTTTTAAACTGCTAAAATATATAATTTATGTTAGATGCATATGGGTCTAATATTGGAAAGCATAAAAAAAAAAATAATCAGATTCGAGAAGGAAAATATACAACATTTGGGATACATTCAGGGAGCAGACATGTTGAAGAGTTTTTTGAATCACGCTTGATGAATTGCTGCCATAATTCAAAGACCTGAAACCATCACTTTGTATTCTGTACAAATCAAAGACAAGTAGTAGGGCTTAATTTAGTAAACTGAGAAGCTGAAGAAACATGATAATAAAATCAGAAGCGAACTTTCCCATACATTAAAAACAATGAAGTACTTGAATATGCAAGTTATCTTCCCTTCACCTTGAACTTTATTGAAGGCAATAGAGACAGCAGACATGTGCAGGAAAGCAAAAGTGATGGCAGCTAGTGTGGGCTTATTTGAAAAGGATAATATAGACCTGGTGTACACTTAGAAATATTCACTGATGCCAGGTCCTTGGAGTAGTTTACGTAGCTACGTAGGGCAGATACTTTTCTAGGTTATCCCACAAATGCCAAATGCCCTGGTTTCATTTTCTGATGGTTTTTATTTTTCCTTTGCTTGTCATTGACATTTTCTGTTGCTTGCTTCTAATTATATTACATTAATTTTTCCCATTTGCTTTCTAAATTATTTTGCAGCTATTCTTCTCCACTTCCTCAGTATGATTCAAGGTGATAACTGTGTCCTTTATGTGAACCATCCTTTTTGTATTTTTAATTTCTGTGAATTTTTCCCACAGTTAGACTGTGTCAGTGTCTGTAGTGTATCAGCGTTTGTCGTCCTGCTGTTCCTAAAACTAGAAACATTCATGTATTAGCTTTAGGATCATTTGTAGAATTCGTGCTATAGTTTAAATATTAATAAGATACAAATATTATTACATACCACCTTTTAATTTGTTCTATAAGTTATGTTGCATGACTTTTTTTTGCACAGAATATGTAATACGTGAGTTTGTAAAACAAATCACTGTATTCTATAATGTTATTGAATAATAGGATCCATGTCCTGTTTAATGCATAGTCCCTCTTTTCCTCAGCCTGTTGACTCTATGAAGTTGAGAACCTCAGAACAACAAATGGTTGCTAATGAGCACCAACCATGCACCATGTGCTATACAGAACACAGATAAAGAGACTCTTCCAGTTTATCATTAATATCAACTTAACTACAGTGTTTTTTCTATTGGTTCTGATATTCTTTACAGCTGAGATATTTTTATTTTAATTCTGATAAACTGTACACTACCTTCAGTCCACTCAGCTCCAATCAGCTATCTACCTGTCTATCCATCCATCAATCCATGAGTATTAGTAACCAAATCTCACTTACACAGTTTCTAAGCAAAATAGTTTTCCTCATTGATTTATTCAGTAAGCATTTATCATGTCCCTATTTTGTACTAGAATTGCGCTTGGCTCTGCAGGTCAAGCAGTGAACAAGACAGACCCAATCAGAATTATTATCTATATTGTTGAGACTCAGCAGTTGCCAGAGCAAACATTCCCTCTCAGTGGAAACACCCCAGTGTGTGTGTGTGTGTGTACTGACACAACCGAATCTTCAAGCCCAGAGTTTGTCGTGAATTGTATTAAATCCATTCTGTTACTATTAGTCCCAATGAAAAATCGATTTCGTAGTTAAAGCTGCTAAATGCAAGGAAGGATTTGATTTTGTCTCATAATATTGCCATATTGCCTTCGTTACTGAATAAAATTGGTTGTTAAATATACGTATGTCTAAGAAAATGTAGGCATTCCCAAGCAATTTCAAGTGAGCCTCCTGTCTTAGCATTGATAACAATTCATCACGACACTTGTTCAAGTGAACAGGTATCTTTTTCTTTGACTAGGGAGAAGTGATTTTTGTTTTCTTTTTGTTTTTGAGTCAGTGTTTTCCCATTTTACCTTGATTATCATAGTGGTCCCAGTCTCCCCAGATCAATAAAATGTTATAAAAGATGTAAATTAATCCAGAGTAAAATGGTTAAATCCAAAACAAGCAAAAGGGTGTAACGATGAGTCCACCTTACTGATAAGCAGAGTTGGTGCTAGGAATCTGATAGGCTGAAAAATGATTGCCAGCCCATTGCCTTTCCCTGTGGGGATCACAGGCCAGTTTGCTTGGTTTCAAAGGTCACTCTTTCAAGGTCAAGAGTTATCATTGTTCAGAAAAGGGTCCCCAGCTAGGAAGTCCATGCAAAGTCTTAAAATCTGTTTGCAGGATGTTAGCATTGTTTTTAGAGGAGATAATAGTAAATAATTTTGATGGTTGGGATGATTTCTTTTCCAAAAATACTAAAGGAATTCAGACAGTTTTCTAATTATCACCATTTTGTACTGTGCTAGTAATCTGTATATTTTCATATGTCAAAATCAGAATACGAAGATATATTTGTGTTCCCCTGTCTGACCTTAACTCTTTCACATGTTGGACTCATTGATTTTTGTTTACTTACAGCTCTGTGATAATGATAACTGTGTTATACCTCTATGATGATGATAGTCATAGAAGACAGTGATTCTAATATGCTTCTACCCAGATGTAACACAGTTAATTTCTTTACATTTTCATATCTATTAATCCATGCAGACAGTTTTTTCCTTATTAGCTTTAATAAAAGGCCAAAGACAGAATTATATAATTTAGAGCCACTTTCTAAAAGTTTGAGTTCCGTTTTTTTCTTGTTGTATAAATTATTCAAATTTAGGCTATTTTAAACAGATTTTAAGCCCATATTTAGATGGAAAACATTTAATCCCTTTCCATCAAAGTCATCTTAGCAAATCTAGTCATCCCCTGCTTTTATTCTTATATTCTGCTTCATCACAGTAGAAATTAGTGTTGGTATGATTAAATATACATTCATTTTATGAGTTGTAAATGTCAAGACATACTGTGGAGTTTCATCTTACTTGTAGGAGTGCATATGGCAGCATATGGCAAAAACCACTTATAGTTAAAATGACCTTTGAATATAAATTCAAAATTCATTTTTTTTTTAATGCATGAGAATCCTCTTAATAGACAGTTTTTACTCCAATTTTGAAACCTTTCTATTCCTTCCATTTGAGCCTGGAAAAGTAGTTGGCTGTTTTGTTTGGGGGTCAGGTTCCACCAAAAATAAGTTGTGTTTCAGTTTTTGAAAGTGCACAAGTTAAAAGCATGTTTGATGCGACTCCACTGTATTTACTTCCGATTTATCTTTAAACAGAGAAAATAATAGCTATGTTGTCTGTCGCTTTAAACTTTAACATTTCATTTCAAAACCTGCTGTGAACACGGTTTATTTCCATCCTTGATTTGGCCTGTGATCTTCTCCCCACAGGTTTCTGGTTAGTTTTATGGTGGATGCGAGAGGGGGCTCCATGAGAGGAAGCCGTCACCACGGGATGAGAATCATCATTCCTCCACGCAAGTGTACGGCCCCCACTCGAATCACCTGCCGTTTGGTAAAGAGACATAAACTGGCCAACCCACCCCCCATGGTGGAAGGAGAGGGATTAGCCAGTAGGCTGGTAGAAATGGGTCCTGCAGGGGCACAATTTTTAGGGTAAGTTGTTTTGTCAATTTTAACCTTGGTCCCTACACATCTTTGATTTTCTTTACCCTTGTTAACTCAAGGAGTTAACTCTTAAAACTGCTTAGTTGGACCTGATTGCGTATACTTTTTGTAAAGTGTCAAAGGTCACAAAGCTGTGTGATTCCATGAAAGGCTAATAGACTGATACTTTCTTAACTCAGTTTGCTGGTCAAGGCTTTTACTAACTGAGAAGCATGTTCTCTGCTCAGCAAGTGCACGGAACCCCAGTGGTCCCTGTAGAAGTCAAGGCACCATTCTAGGGAAAAAATACAGATGCTGGAATGATTTCACCACATTGAATATATGGCTACTTTGGGGACATGTCTTTTTAAAGAACATTTTTCAGGAAACAGTTCATTGTGATACGGTATTTTACAAAAAGGAAAAATAAATTTAATTCGTTTTCTGAGGTGGCACTTGGGTGCAAATCAGGCAGGCTCTGTCGTGACTGACAGTTTGTTCACAATTTCCCCTTCTCGTTTCTCTTTCTGCTGCATGGATGTTATTCAGTAAACTGCATCTTCCTACCAATCCTCCCCCTGTAAATGAGGGTGAGAGCTTGGTTAGCCGAATCCTGCAGCTGGGGCCTCAAGGAACAAAATTTATTGGGTAGGACCTTTATAGACAAGATACAGAATGTCTACAATTTTTTTTCCATTTTCAATTTTTTTCTGTCACACCCATGGTCTGATTCTTGTCTTAAGTTTATTTTTATTTTTTAAGTTTTTTTTTTTAATCTTTTAGTTTGTGTGTGTCACAGTGAAAAAAAAAAAATCATAGTGGCTTGACTTAATGTAGCACCGCTACCTATCTTGTGCTTCTCAAGCATGTGGAATTCACTGCAAGCATTCCGCTTTCATAACTTTGTGCTTTTGTAAACCTTTCTTTAATTTGAAATGTTTCTTCTGATATGATACTTTTAAGACAGCGACAGTCTTTCATTTTAACCCAGTGTTAGAAAAGGTATTTGCAGGCTTTGAATCAACATTTGCTATAAATTTCATGTACGTACACCTGTGTGTGTGTGTGTGTGTGTGTGTGCGCGCGCGTGTGCATGTGTGTGTGTGTGTAATTAGATCTTTTAAAAGAGTACATGAGTACTGTAATTTTTTATGGGCTTTGAGAAGAAGTCATCAATAAGTAAACTGATTTTGAAAAGTGTTGGGAACACAGGATATTTAAATAAAATTAAATAGGCAGCAGATAGAATATTCTTTTAAAGTTATTAAATTGTTTTGTTTGGTTTTGTTTAAGCTGAAATGCATTGGTATTTGTTGTTTGTTCGCTTTGTCTGTTTGACCGTTGTATTTGCCTTGGCAATCTGCATGAAGAAACCTGTTAATGAAAAGCTATGCTTGGCTTTCACCTTGGTCAAAGGCCCTTGTTCATACCTTCTTTCCAATATCATTGAACATCATACATAAAGCCACATTCCTTAAATATTTACAGAGACAGTATCTGACACATTAACCTGCAAAGATTGTATCTTCTCAAAAATAAATACAATTTAATGTTTAATTATAAGGTATAGTTAAACATTATGGTAAATATCTTAATTTGAAATTGTTAATGCTTCTAAGAACACTTGATTTGTTTTCTTCTTATTGAAGGATAAAGGCATTATAAACATTATTTCTTAATATTTAATTTAAATAAATTATAATGATTTTGCCAAAAGCAAAATGATCATATTTATCATCTCCATTTTAAATAAATAGCTTTCTAATAAATCGATATTCATGTTTTTATTTATGTTATTTGATCATTACAACTACTATTCCTTTTTATGCTCTTACTTATTTAAGCCTGTATCTTCTGTTATCACATATACCTACACACCTAAGTTAAGAAGTGAGGTTCCATACAAACTCTGTAGGAGAATAATGATACTGTCTACTTAAATGTCATAAAATAAAGCTGCACAATCCAACTACATAAACTGTGTGTGATTGTGGTCTGCTTACTTCCATTCATCTTTTTTAGTATTTATCCTATTTTAAAATTTACCAAAATTACTTCCCGTGGCTTGATTGGCTATGTTCAATTTGCAGCCATTCTTTTACATTCCTTTGCAAAAGGACACTGTCAAGCTTTTCTACGTCATTATATGACAATTTCAAACCAGCAAGTATTTTTTTCAGAAAGTGTAAGTATTCTTATGCAGGTTATATTAGAGCCAGGAATTGAAGCTACCTACTACCATTTCACAAATTGAAGAACACAGGAACTCTCTTAACTGCACAGGCCATGAAAAAAATGGAATCTTACTGTTGGAGCAGTAGCTATCATATTGACTGTTTTCTTGCTAAAGAGAAAATACAGCAATAATCTTTCAAACTAGGAACTTTAGAGAATTTTTTTTAAAGAAATGGCTGTGTCCTTTTAAATCATTAGCATTTGTATAATATACCTATAGTGTCTTTTTAAAATGGACCAACTTTCTTATGGTCTACTTTAATAACTTTCCATTCTGATTCAAAATTCCTATTCATAGGTACTGAAAATTTTCCCCCGTTAAATCCAATGCCTAACATATGGTAGTCCTCCAAGAACTGTTTGTGAATGAATGAATGATGGCATGTTATCAGGCTTCTAAAATATTTAATTAGCAAATGATTCTGCAGCTTTGAAATCATTCCCAACCTTAGTGGCACCTCTGATTTTCAAATGAATACTGTTATTGAAATATTTTTAAAGTATGATACTATAAATATATTTAATTTGATACAAAAATAATGTGGATTTTTTTTCCAGCCCTGTCATAGTGGAAATCCCTCATTTTGGGTCCATGAGAGGAAAAGAAAGAGAACTTATTGTTCTTCGAAGTGAAAATGGTGAAACTTGGAAGGAGCATCAATTTGACAGCAAAAATGAAGATTTAACTGAGTTACTTAATGGCATGGATGAAGGTAACAATGATGGTTCCTTGGTTCTGTAAATGTCTGCAGGCAGAAATTGAAGGAATGACTGGATTATGTGAAACAGGACTTGAATTTCACACATTTGTATTTTAAGCTAGGACCCAAGTTCTTCAGCTTTTATTCCTGTTTTCTATATCATAAAGCATGATGTTTCATTTAATCCAACACACTTTTTTCTCCATCATATAAAAGTACAAGTATTCTGATGATTCCATCTTTAATCACATACATCAATCTTTCCAATACCAAAGAAAATTTTCTAAGTCAAAAATGGGCAAAGAGAGGGTGAAATAATAACGGAAGGTATGCAAGGCATGCTGAGCATTTTGAAGAAAATGTGTTCACATTTTATTTTTGGAATTTCTTCCGGTCTCTTTCAGCTTTTTCAAGTTCCTCCTAGATAATTTCAGTATCCTTCAGAAATTTTTAATTTCTCTTGGGCCACAATTAGTTTTTAAAAAATGTTTCATGGTAATTATTGGAGTCTGTTGTGTTTCAATGTCTTGTTCTTTGACCTCGTAAGACTGGTATATATCTGAGCATGTCACTTTTTCATACACAACTTCTTCAGGCTGTCTGACCCTAAGAACATGAGCAGTTTTTCTTAGTAGATGTTAGGAATGGTCTGGTTTTGAGAGTAGGTGTTTGATGCAGAGTTTTCCTTTAAAAATGTAAATAAATAAATAAATAAATAAATAAAGAGAACAGGCTCACCATCAAGTCTGATGCTGAGAGAAAAATATCTGAGCTAATTCTTCCTTTATACTCACTTCCTAAGCACTCCAAATCCAGGAATTGTTTAAATAACAGCTTTATTAGAGATAGAATTCATATTTCATAAAATCCACTCTTTTTTAATTCACTGACTTTTGGAATGCACTCAGCATATTCTCTCATGGGTTTCACGGTTTGAACCAAGGAGCTAGATGAACTGTAGGGTACTTGAGGAATGACCTTGGGCAAATTTCTTGATCTCTGTGAGCCTCTGTTTCTTCTGTAAAATGGAGATTACCTTCCTAACTTCCTAGGGTTATTGCTGAGAATAAATACAATAATTATGAGAGGTCCATATGAAATACAGTCCTTGTCATGAAGTAAGCCCTTGATAAGTATGAGCTATTGTCATTATATTCTCTAGAAAAAATTGTCATGCCAAAGGTTCGGTATAAGACACATCACGACCGACCATGAATTTAAAGATGCCTTTACAGCAAAGTACAGGGAAAGTAGTAATTGATGAGTGGCTGGCATTCATGAGGCACTGATAAATGCTTTCATAAGTGAAAACTGAAAAAGAAAGGGTGGCACTGCTAATCAAGTGGTTTTTAATTCTACTTTACTTGTAAGGAAACTGAAGTTCAGAGACGTTAAGCAACATATCTAAGGTTACCCCCCTGAGTAGTAAGGCTGGGGTCAAAATCTAGTTCTACTTCTTTTCTTTTTTATGAGATGAGGTCTCACTCTGTTACAGGCTGGAGTGCTGTGGCACGATCTCTGCTCACTGTAACCTCCACCTGCCGTGTTCAAGCAATTCTTCTGCCTCAGCCTAAACTAAGACTCAGAGATTGAGTGCTAAACTTAAACCTACACATGTAGGTTTTTTATGTAGGTAAACTCGCGTTGCAGGTGTTTATTGTACAGATTACTCTTTCACCCAGGTACTAAGCCTAGTGCCTATTAGTTATTTTTTCTGATCGTCTCCCTCCTCTCACCCTCTATCCTCTAGTAGGCCCCAGTGTCTGTTGTTTCCCTTTGTGTCTACAGGTTCTCATTTAGCTCCCACTTATAAGTGAGAATATGCAGTATTTGATTTTCTGTTCCTGCATTAGTTTGTTAAGAATAATAGCCTCCTGCTCCATCCATGTTCCCGCAAAAGACAGGATCTCATTCTTTTTTAGGGCTGTATAGTATCCCAAGATATAAAGAGACAATGATATAATTCTCTGTCTTGGATTCTATGTGTGATTTTGGAAAAACTAGATAGCATTTCTTTGCCATTTTTTTAAAGACCAGATAAATTTTGGTTCCATTTTAGACAATTCAAAGGAAATGCAAATAATTGGAGGCTTAAAGAATCAAGGACTGGAGGCCGCTAGAGCAAAAGTGAGGATGGAATTTTCAAGGCACAGGCTTTTTTCATGTATTAAATTAATAGTAAGAAAGGAACCGCTACACACAGTTTATAACTGAAGCTCAGTTAATCTAATTATATGCCAAACTCCAGCCCATCTCACCACTCTTCACATATCCCCAAAGACACTTCATTCCTTTTTTTATGGTAACTCTATTTTTAATTTTTTGAGTACCCACCATACTGTTTTCCATAGGCAGCTGCAGCATTTTACATCACATTTTACAGTACACAAGGGTTCTCCACATCCTTGCCAACACTTGTTATTTTCTGTTTTGTTTTGTTTATGATGGCCATCCTACTGGATGTGAGGTAGTTCAGCATAAGTTTTTATTTCACTTGGGTAAATGCCTAGGAGCAGGATTGCTGGACTACATGGTACATCTATATTTAAATTTATATGAAATCACTAAGCCATTTTTCAAAATGAATGTACCATTTTACATTCTGTCCAGCAATATTGAGAGTTTTAGTTGCTCTGCAGCCTTGTTAGCACTAGATATTCTCCTTTTTAAATTTTAGCCATTCTAGTAAGAAAGTGGTAGTATCTTATTGTGGTTTTAATTTTGGTTTAAAGACACTTCATTCTTATCAGAACTTTCCTCTCTCCAAAAACAGACTGACAAAAATAAAACCCAAATCTGTCTTTTTAAAACGCCAACTTATCTTTTTCCTTGAAGGTCCAACTATTCAAAGTTCTAGTTCAAAGAGAAGCATATGCACAGTTTAGGAGGTTTTATGATTTTTGTGTTCTTTTATCCTCTCTACTCTGTTCCCCTCCCTTTTTGCTACTGAATAACTGTTAATTAACAGGATAAAAATAGTTCCTGAATTAAACCAGTGACCAGATCACTCAAGCTTTCCTTAAAATAGAGAAATAAATTGTCCTACCATTATCTTATATAATGTGTCAATTTCATAACAATTAATTAAGCTTTATCTGTCGTCTGTGGCAGGTGACCCTTGATAGTGCCTGTCTTGTTATAAATGTCTACTTTTTCAACCCCCTTCTCCATAGATGAATTCTTTGTGCTACTTCGTAAGCAATCTGTATGTTGCTTTTTTTTTTTTTTTTCGTCCAAGCCAGAGACTTGCTCTGTCACCCAGGCTGGAGTGCAATGGCGCCATCTCATCTCAGTTCACTACAGCCTCTACCTCCCAGGTTCAAGCAATTCTTCTGCCTCAGGCTCCCGAGTAGCTGGAATTACAGGCATGTGCCACCACGCCCGGCTAATTTTTGTATTCTTAGTAGAGACGGGGTTTCACCATGTTGGCCAGGCTGGTCTCAAACTCTCCACCTGGTGATCTGCCTGCTTGGCCTCCCAAAGTGCTGGGATTACAGGCGTGTACCACCATGCCCAGTTATCTGGTACTCTTACAACTAGTCCTGTTGTAGGCTCTTCTCTGAAAATCTTAAAGCTCAAGTATTTAAAAAACATCTTAGCAAATATTCTGATCACTGATTTTTATTAAACAACACAATTGTAAAGATGAGTTTATGTTCTATAGTGTGTTAAAATGTGTGAAGCCTTTCCATGTACTCAATCAAATTTGGCTGTTAGAATAACTGCTGGGAATAAAAGGTTTAAGGAGGAGGAGAGTTCGCCCCATGTAATGTGGTGGTTGGGACCATGATTTATGGAAGTTACACAGACCAGAATTCTCATCTTGGCTCCACCACTTACTTGTGTGACCATAACCAAGCACTTAATCTCTCTGAGCCTTTAAATTTGTTTAAAAGGCTCTGAGTGTTTAAATTTGTAAAGTGAGGATGTCTAATAGTGAATTACTAGGGAATAGATAAGCTAATATAGGTAAAGTTCCTAGTATGATGCCTGATGTCGGAAACCCACTCAATGTGTAGTCATAGCCACAACTGCCATGTAAGTTGTGCAGGAGAGCAAACGGGGTCTGAAATCCTGCCTTTTCCACTTGTCAAGCTCTCTGCCCTGACACTGGTCTGTAAGTCATAGGGGTACTTTTTTCTAATGTGCTTAAAGCTACTATCTAGTTGCCAAGCTGTGTATCTACAAGGTTGTGTACACCCCAAGGGGGCACCCTTTTCCAAATTGTGTAGAACAAGAGTCACATATATGTTAACTGGCACTTAAATTTTCCATTACTAATGAAGGCACCCTCTTAGTTTCTTTGTATGACACAAATATGGTATATATTCAGGAAAAATTGTAGCTGCAAAATAAGGGGAATTAAAAGTTACTCCTTATCACCTGGGGACAAAATCATCAATGGTTTTGCTAATGAAGTAGATGTGTTAGCAAAGGTCTATTGAAAAAAGAGGCTAGAGTGACACAAAGGACAGCTGGTCTGGGTGTGAAGAACCTGCCATCAGCATTAAGGTATCATGTGACAGCAGCAACTTTTCACTTTGGCAGCAGACAGACATCTTGTTCTAGTCTTTGTCAATGCTTGTTTTCTCAGCAGAGAAAAAGATGCTGCAAAGAGAAAACAAACATTCGTTCCCCCTACAAAGTATTATGCACCAAACTGAATTCACTTTATGAGTTGAATGAAAACCTGACTTTAATTAAACTCACAAAGTTGAATTAAACATGTTTAAAATTACACCTCCAAATTCAGACCCCAAAGAGTATTGTGTAGTTTGCAGTTATCTTGGATCTGGAAGCATTTTCTAGTAGAAGAGGTCCTTCCTCCCGTAGAGGTCCTTAACTTACACATTGGAAAGCTCGAGAAATGTTCTAGTCCTGCGCTGTCCGATACAGTAGCCACTAGCTCCATGGAGCCACAGAGCACTTGAAATAGAGCTAGTACAAATGGAAATGTACTGCAAATGTAAAATACACCAGATATATGAAGTTTAGTACCCTCCTCCAAATAC